TTAAAATATGAATACAGAATCAGAGAATGTAACATTAAATGCTAGATACTGTGCCAAATGCTTTATGTACCCCCACTTTAATGAGTACTCACAATCTTGTATTACTACTATCCCCATTTTTTTCTTTCAGATGAGAAAAACAGACCCAGAGGTTGACTTGTTTGAGGTCACGTAGCTATCTGTTGAACTTAAGCCTGTCACACTTCAAAGCTACGCTTTTTTCTTCCCCCAGCTGTACAGTATGTGGGATCCTGGTTACCCCACCAGAGATTGAACCTGCACCCCCTGCATTGAAGTGTGGGGTCTTAACCACTGGACCGCCAGGAAGTCCCCAGAGCCATGTCTTAACTAGGAAAGAATCCTTAGGAACAATTTAGTTCAGCTCCTTTTTAAGAAGCAATCTTCCAATCATATGACACATGAACCCTACATATTCTCATTAGTTTTCACAGTATCTTTTGTTGTTGAGATTTAAAATCCAAAGACAGAATATGACCAACTGCCTCATTTGCTCAAAAGCAGCTAATAGGACCACAGGGCTGCTATAGTAAGTTATCCACACTTTATGTTCTATTCACTATGTTCTATATGTTAGAACTATAGAACATAGTGAATAGAATATATATTCTATATCACTACAGTATAGGACTATTTCATTAGTGACTTATTTGTAAAAATCCAGCCTCTGACCTGGGCCAGCTTCTAATGAATAAGAGATAACTGTTTGGCCCCTAGGCATTAAACTTATGATCCTAATCTATTCTGAAATATAAAAAATGTACACTTAATTATGCCAAACAGTTGAGATCTTTCAAGCCAACGCACCCTGATGTGGTCCAAAATCTAAACAAGTTACTTTCACAAAAGAGAGAATTACTAAAGAACAATAATGACTTAAAATATTAAGACTGAAGATTTGTCCAACTCTTACCTTTAAAAAAGTTAAAAATAAAAAACAAAATCTTGAATGAGATGGTTTGGCTACCATATCCATTATAAATTGAGTACTTCTAAATAATTAACTTTTGTGATTTCATTAGGTAAGATCAGTATCTGCTTTCTCTTGACAAAAAATATCCAGAGCTCCCAGAATGACAACAAGAACATAAGAAATTTGTTATAAGATTTGTTTATACTACAGTTGGTCCCTCAGGATCTGGGGCAATTGGTTTCAGATCCTCCTGTGGGTCCTGGGGAACAGGACCCAACAGAACCTGTGTTTGCTCAAGTCCCTTATACAAAATGGTGTAGTATTTCTATATAACTTAAGCACATCCTCCTATATACATCTCTAGATTATTAAATAAAATGTAAATGTTGTGCAAGTAGTTGTAAATACAGTGTAAACAGTTGTAAATACTATGTAAATAGATGGAAAAAATGACAAACTCAAGTTTTATTTTTTGGAACTTTCTGGAATTCCCCTGCCCCCACACCCCCCAATATTTTTGATCCAAGGTTGTTTGAATCCACAAATGAGAAACCCACAGGTATTCCTTAAGAAAAATAAATACCACTTGAGGATGTGAGGAATACAAAAAGAAACACACCTGAAGACTTTTAACTAGGGATTTTTAAAAATAAATTATAAATAATTTTTTATTTATCAATTTTCAGCAAGGAACTCCCAAAGTTATTGAATCTTCTTCATTTCTCAGGAACTATTCACTCCCAGAGCAGACCACCTGCAGAAAAAAATGTATTTTAGAAAGTTTCAAATTTCAAACATGCCAGACCTATGGAGTCAGGAATGAAGATGCTAGAAATATATGCTTCAGCCGAGGACTATTAACTAACTGCCACAATTATTCTATACCAGTCACAAAATAAAAGATCCACACTTTAAAATTCTAGTTTTGCTTAACTTTAACTATAAAAACATCACGGAAACTGTTTAATCCATTACAAGGTTTAATCTTTAAAGTCTTTGTTGAAGTAAAAACTATACGTTCATTTATTTTCTCAAAAACGTCCTCCACAAAGAAGTTTATTTTTACAAATATTCAAGAGAAGAGACTTGCAACCCCCTCCTTGCTGACTCAAGTATGTTTGGCAAAGATCCACGAAGTGGAAGGCAGGTCAGCTCTGTATACAAGGCATTTCCTGTGGAAAGTTACTCACTGAAACCCAAGGGCAAAGTAAGGGTAACACTTCTGAAATGAATCTGGAAAGATCAAAAAGGGAGAGCAGCAGAGGGGAGGGCTGCTGGTCCCAGCAGGTGTCTCTCCAAACAGCTCAGACGCACCCCCACTCCTATCCCAGAAGCCGGGAACAATGCTAACAAGGTAGCTAAGTAATTTGGACTGGCCAACTCTTCAAGTCTAATTCAAGTGTTTCCCTCACCTAGCTATTCCTGCATCTGGTTTAGAAAAGATAAGCCTTATCGACAATACAAATACATAAGTTCTCTCTTTTCTAACAGGCTCAGAGGAAGAATACATGTAAACATATGCAAAAATGAAGTCACTCATCATTTCAAGAGATAGCAGTCTGTATAGCACTGCTACCTCTTTTGTTATCAGCTACCCACTGAAAGCCTCTGGGTATAAAGTCTTTGACAGAAGATAGATATCTATTGAACGAATAAATGTAAAAATAGCAAAAATGACCCTTTTTCTTGACTCTCAGAATCATATTTTCAAATATCATCAGTTGTCTCTGAGTTTGTTTTGTGTGTGTGAAATCAGCATATTTTAAGCACATGTTAACCAAATATTAAGTTCAATCAAACTTTAAATACTGAGTATCACGGCCACTCAGTGCTGGTCCTTTATTTCAAAGATTTTAGCCCCCAAACTGTGTTCTCTAGGTGCCTCCTGGGTCTTAAAGGCAAAATGATACCAGCTGCCATTTCTAAGCAGGTTTTAGGTTCCTCTAGTTTCTCTTTCAGTAAAAGAAGCAGTCATGGACTTCCCTGGTGGTCCAGTGGATAGGAATCCACCTGCCAAATGCAGAGGACACGGGTTGGATCCCTGGTGTGAGAAGATTCCACATGCCATGGAGCAACTAAGCCCGTGCACCAAAACTAGAGAGCCGGCACTCTAAAGCCTGTATGCTGCAGCTACTGAAACCTGTGTGCCTGGAGCCTGTACTCCACAAGGGAAGCCACCGCAGTGAGAGGCCTGTGTACCCCAACTAGTGAGTAGCCCCTGCATGTCGCAACTAGAGAAATTCTTCACATGTCAACGAAGTCCTAGCGCAGCTTTAGTTTTTCTTAGGAGTAGTTTTCAAGTCTCTGTTTTTGCTGCTACTAAATCTTTAGACAATTTATATTTAGCATTATCCCTACTAACTTCTTCAGCTTAAGCCAGTGGTTCTTAAAGAGAGGAACACCTGAAAATTATCTAGGAGCTTCAGTTAACAGGTGCAGATCTGGGCTCAAGCTTGTGAATTTTGGTAAACTTTCCTCAGATGATTATAAGGTACACTTCTGGTTGAATGTACTTACTTTCATATTAAGTTCAGTTTTCTGGATTCAAGGTACAATTAAGATCTTATTTAGAAAATAAAAGCTACTAAGGTTTTTTGAATTAAGGAACTTTCATGATCATTACTGGGAAGATCTGAGATTGCAAAATATTTTTCCTTTGAAGCTATCCTCAGAAAAATGTGGTCTAATGGTGTAAGAGATACCAATTTAGTTAAGTTTATCTTATAACAGCGCAGATAGTAGTGTTGAATTTTACCCAGTTACTGACCTGGTTACTGAGTTATATCCACCTCCGTATTTCAACAAAAGGTCTTTGTAACTAGTATTCAAAATAAAGTCTTAGGTAAACCTAAAAACGAATACGTTGGCAGTAAAATCTCATTAAGTGCAAGGAGTGAAGTATAAAGTGCTCACAATCTGGAGAGTAAAAAAGACCTAGATTTGGACTTGCTTGGTGGTCCAGTGGTAAAGAATCTGCCTACCAATGCAGGGGACACAGATTTGATCCCTGGTCCAGGAAGATTTCACATGCCTTGGGGCAACTAAGCCCATACTCCACAAGTACTGAGCTGTGCTTCACAAGAGAAGCCATCGCAATGAGAAGACCGGGCACCGCGAAGGGGAGGAGCCCCTGCTCTGTTCAACTGGAGAAAGCCCGCACACAGCAAAGACCCAGAGCAGCCAAAACAAAGCAAAACAAGATCAAGTTTCTAGTTTTAATCCTACCACCTATCCATTGCTAACTTGAGCAAGTCTTTTTTTTTTTTTTTTAACTTCATGGTCCCTCCATTTCCCCATGGGGGATAGGGAAATAGGGCACCTGGGACCAAAGTAGATCCAAACACCTGTTCCTCTTCCAAAAGTAGCATTATGCTGAAAATAAAAAACATATTCTCAATCCTAAGAAAGGCCCTATGTGGATTCAGATTCTTTTCATAACCAGGATTCAAAAACACGTAATCATGACACATATTAAACAGACCTCAATAGAATGCCTGCTATCCACAATTCCAAGATATGGCTATCTGGTTTCTCTTTGACAGTTTAAAAACCCTATTCATACACGTATCATTTAATCATCATGATGACTCTAAGAAATAGTCTGGTCATGTACTGTTCTCTCTCCTTTAGACATGAGAAAACTAAGGCTCAGAAAGTTAAGGACTTGCTCAGTACCACACAACCAGGTCAACTGTTTTCTAAGTCCAAAGCTCTTGCATTTTCTTTCATACACAAATGAAGCCATAGGAATCACTCTCATTCTCTGTCCCAATAACAAAGAAAACCATGATATCTTCTGGTCCTTGTGAATATATGCTACTTATAGCAATAACTGTATCACCTTTGAGATCCACATGAAGTCCAAGCGAAACTTCTGATGCTCCTAAAATCAACATTTTAAAAAATCACCCTTTTTATCAAGGCAGGCTTAACCCTAAGCAACAGCTTACACAACTGACTAGAAAGAAAGGGACAAGTAAATCACGTACAAATGTTGAGATTCAATGTCTTTGAAGTAATCAAGTTATACTTTTAAAAAATAGTATATTTTTAAAAATAGTTATACTTCTTAAGCTCCCCACAACCATATTTACTTATTTTACAAAATGATTCACCATGAGATTTCTAAAAAGTCACTTAAGTATATCTAGTATACACAGGTTGATAATACCATACATAAAAATCACAACATATATTATGGTTATCTTTTTATAAACAAAAAGGTAAAACTCAGATATGATTAGATTAGTATCTTAATGAACATATATTTAGTTCAAGTAAAACACACGCTAAGCTAGAGAATAGGAGAACCAAAGCTAAGCCTCAGGACTTTCAGAATAGACTGTTTTCCACCTCATAGTGATACTTCTTATCAGCTGGTTCCTTATCCCCCCCTTTTCACAGCTCAATGAGGAAGGTTGGTCACATGTAAAATTCCAAAGAGACAGGAAACAGGTGAAAGAGAAAGAAGCCAGGCTTTCTATTACTTTTCTACTGGTATGTAGCTTTGGCTTTATCTCTCAGCTATTATTAAAATGGTGGTATGGTGTGGATCTTATGGGGGAGTAAGGGCACCAAGCAGAGGAAATCTGTCTAGAGACAGAGGTTACAGGTCTGACCCTGCCTACAGGTAGTCACTTCATACATATGGGCCTTAGTTTCCTCATTTATTCATTCATTTAATCAAGAATCTTCTATTGAACACTTGGTATGTCCAGAGGGGCTTCCCCAGGTGGCTCAGTGGTAAAGAATCCACCTGCCAATGCAGTAGCCTCGGGTTCGATCCCTGATCTGGGAAGATCCCACAGGCCGCGTGGCAAATTTGCCCATGCACCACGACTACTGAGCCACTGCTCTAGAGCCTTCAAGGCACAACTCCCGAGTGCACATGAAGCCTGAGCGCCCTAGAGCCTGTGTTCTGCAACAAGAGAAGCCTCCGCAATGAGAAGTCGGCATACCCCAACTAGAGAGTACCCCTAGTCTCTGCAACTAGAGAAAAACCCATGGAGAAACGAAGACCCAGCACAGCCAAAAAAAAAAAAAAAAAGAGGTTTTAGTTTTATTAGAATAAAGCACGGTACAAAAGAAACAGCAACAATTCCATTTCTGTTTTGCAGAAAGCAATGCTTCCATGTGCTACCTACACCGTATTTAAAAGCTCTTCCTAAGTCTGAAAGAAAAACACCAATACAGTATGTTAACGCATATATATGGAATTTAGAAAGATAGATAACAATGACCCTGTGAGATAGCAAAAGAGACACAGATATAAAGAACAGACTTTTGGACTCTGTAGTAGAAGGTGAGAGTGGGATGACTTGAGAGAATAGCATTGAAACATGTATATTACCATATGTGAAACAGATGACCAGTCCAAGTTTGATGCATGAAACAGGGCACTCAAAGCCGATGCACTGGGGCAACCCAGAGGAATGGGATGGGGAGCGAGGTGGGAGGGGGTGGTTCGGGACAGGGGGACATATGTACACCCATAGCTGATTCATGTCAATGTATAGCGAAAACCACCACAATATTGTAAACTATAACATATAAACTAATTTTTTTAAAAAAGGTCTTCCTAAAAACTCACAAGGTTAGAAACAAAAAACAGAGAATATTTCCCTTTTAATCAGACAACTGAATTTTGTCTGGATATTCTGAACTTCCTAAGCCATGATTCTTCTATCTCTAACATAACTCTAAAAGCTTTTGTCAAGCCCTTACTTGAAAGCTTAATTCTCCTCTTCCCAAATCCATAAAACACCTCTCAATTTCTTTTTTTCTGGTGGCAACATGCAGCATACAGGATCTTGACCAACCAGAAATAGAGCCCAGGGACTCTGTAGTGGAAGCTAGGAGTTTTAACCACTGGACCACCAGGGAAGTCCCATATTTTTCAATTTATTAGCATCATTTTACTCTGTACACTAGAAACTGAAAAGCTATTTTTCTAGTTATACTTAGGCATGTTAGATTAACCAGGTGAGCTACCTTTCAGACAAGTGGTGGTTTAGTTGCTAATTCATGTCTGACTCTTGCGATTCCATGGACTGTAGCCCACCAGGCTCCTCTGTCCATGGGATTCTCCATGTGAGAATACTAGAGTGGGTTGCCATTTCCTTCTCCAGAGGATCTTCCTGACCCAGGAACTGAACCTGGGTCTCCTGCATTGCAGGCAGATTCTTTACCGACTGAACTATGAGGGAAGCCCAAAAAATGCTGCCGAATGATTGCTAAACCTGTAAAGCAATACACAAATTTGAAGCAATCAGCCTATGTATTACCTTTCCACTAGGAAAGCACCATGCTCACCATTTCATATCTTAAATCCCAGGGCTCTCATGCACTCCTTGTGGGCTTCAATTAGGTGTCCACATTGCTCTTCTCCTTTCTCAATGATGCTATAAAACAAAATGTACTTGTCAATAAAGTAGGCATTAAACACATTAGCAGTAAGTAAGCATAAGTGATCTGACAGAATACAGCTGGAGTTTTAAAAACGGTATTATACCAAATGGCTTTACACCAAACTTGTTTTTACTGGTTCTTGTGATACTTCCTTGCCCCTGAAAATGTTCCACAGATAACTAGTTTTCGGGGGTAGAAGAATCTGATTTGAAGAAATAATTATGCATATTAAATATTGACCCTAGACAATATCCAAGGAATAATACTGCTCTGTAATGAAATAAACTGAGTAAAAAGTTAACATTAAATGTACAGAAAGAAGAGCTTAATTTTTTGCCTGTCACAGAGGAATTACATTTTTTATTCTGCTCCACATTCAAATACCTCTAAATAAATTTACTTCTAGGCACAAGACACCCAATACAAACAGCAAAAAACATCTGGTTGCCAAGGGCGACCTGAGGAGCCCCACTCATGATGATCAAAGAACTTTTCACTTGTGAAGTTACAAAGTAAAGACTAGGACCACATTAAAAATCAATTACATGAAAAACTGACTTCTGACTCTAGATACCTGGGGAGCCGCCATAGGGTCAGAGGTAATTGATGCAGAAGTTAATTTTAAAAAAGGTAGGTTCTCCTCCCTTCTAAATACAACCTATCTTTCACTAGATTTAATGGCTGTCTGCATGGGTTAGCAAGCTTCTTTTTAAAATAATAGCTAGCTCGCCCTGATCATTTATTAAATACTGAAAATACTGTGCTAGGCACCAAATATGACTTATAGCACAGTAATGCTGAAGGCAGAAATTTTAGGCCCATTTTACAGATATGAGGCAGAGATCTTAATTTGCTCAAGGTGACAAAGCTGGCTGGTGAACCAGGACTCAGACTCTGAAACTGGATCCAGGCTCTTAATCATGATGCAATCCTATCTGAAAGTTCAATACGCACCTACTGTTTTTAACTGTGGAAGCACAGTATCCCACCGTAGCCTTCAATTCTCCCTTCACAGTATTACTTGCAAAATACTTAGTGTTAATGTCACTTATGCTCTCTTTACTTTCTATGTGAGGACAAAAAGGGACTGGAGGGAGAGATGTAACACTCACATTATCTGAAGATTCCTTCAGATATCTGTTCCACAATAGAGGCTGTACACAATAAAAACAAGAATGCGAGTTGATGGTAATCTAGGTGTACTATTCTGAATACTGTAATGTCATCTATGTCATAGCCTGGTTGATTTTTAAATTATCTAGCTAAAAGAGGTGGGGATAAGGGGGTTTTCTGTAGGGTTAAGAAACGTACCCTGTGTCTTACTATGTCTAAATTTTGGGAGAAATCACCAGAAAATGTACTCTTTGATACTGCCAAACCTCGCACAGCAATCATTAACTTTAATGCTCCACTAACTTTAAGATCCTTTAAATCAAGCAGTATCTTTACCCACTTCTATGTTTTCTGAACCTAAAGCAGTGCTTGACCCATAACATTTCCACGTTCAGAAACCCTTTGTAGGAAGGAATGAGTGGACGAAGCAAACCCGAGTCAATGTGACCTCTTTCCAATCCCTTCATCTGCTTCCCAAGGGTGAGCTAAGGCCTCAGTCTACAGACAGCCAAGAGCGAAGCCTATTGGCCTCTATAACCTTCAAGAGCAGCCCACGCCTAAGCGAGGACCGACACCAGCCCCAGGCAGGGCAGAAGTGCCTGAACGCTACGCGCCGAGCCTCCGGCCGCCCCCTCCCGGACAGCGCACTGACCACGCATCGCGCGCCTTCTTGGTCTCCGGGCAGGCGCAGCAGGGCTTCAGCGGCTTCTTCTCCTGCGACTCAGATGGGGCAGGGCTTGCGGCCGCCAGACCTGGCATTTTTCGTGCCCGAAAGCAGCAACTAGCGCAGACACCCTAAACGCGCCAGACTTGGCAAAGCCGATTTGCGCGCACTCACTTCCGGCAGTCGCTCTGAAAAGAACAGGAAGTCCTGCCTCTCTTCCACAATTGGGGGAAAAGAGGGGAAAGGACGGTTGTTGGTTTTTTTTTTTTTTAAAGGCGCTGTTCAGAAGAGTCAAAATGAAGGTATTAATGTGAGGACGTCTCTTTGGTCCAGGAGCAGAGAAGTGAGATGAAAGTGCAGCGACCGGAAATACCCACAAAGGAGGAGATCTTCTAGTCTTTCCCAGTCTATTATTTTCCTCTATTTCTTTGCGTTGTTCACTTAAGAAGGTTTCCTTATCTCGCCTTCCTGTTCTCTGGAACTCTGCATTCTGTTGGTTATACTTTCCTTTTCTCCTTTGCTTCTCGCTTCTCTTCTTTTCTCACCTATTTGTAAGGCTTCTTCTGACAACCACGTTGCCTTCTTGCCATTTGTTTTTCTCGGAGATGATTTTGGTCACCGCCTCCTGTACAGTGTTACCAACCTCCATCCACAGTTCTTCAGGCACTATGTCTATCAGATCTAATCTCTTGAATCTATTTGTCACTTCCACTGTATAACTGTAAGGGATTTGATTTAGGTCGTACTTGAATGACCTAGTGGTTTTCTCTACTTTCTTCAATTTAAGCCTGAAGTTTGCAATAAGGAGCTGACGATCTGAGCCACAGTCAGCTCCAGGTCTTATTTTTGCTGACTGTATAGAACTCTCTATCTTCAGCTGAAGAGAATATAATCAATCTGATTTCGGCATTGACCATCTGGTTATGCCCATGTGTGGAGTCATCTCCTGTATTGTTGGAAGAGGGTATATGCTGTGACCCGTGTATTCTCTTGACAAAACTCTGTTAGCCTTTGCGTTGCTTCATTTTGTACTCCAAGGTCAAACTTGCCTGTTACTCCAGGTATCTCTTGACTTCCTACTTTTGCATTCCAATCCTCTATGATGAAAAGGACATTGTTTTTTGGTGTTCGTTTTAGAAGTTCTTGTTGGTCTTCATAAAACTGTTCAACTTCAGGTTTTTTGGCATCAGAGGTTGGGGCATAGACTTGGACTACTGTGATGTTGAATGATTTGCCTTGGAAATGAACCAAGATCATTCTGTAATTTTTGAGTTTCCAACCAAGTACTGCATTTTTGGACTCTTTTGTTGACTCTGAAGCCTACTCCATTTCTTCTAAGGAATTCTTCTAAAGATCTCTTCAAGACAATTTGAGATACCAATTCTGACCCTGGGATTCTCCAGGCAAGAATACTGGAGTGGGTTGCCATTTTCTTCTCCAATGCATGCATGCATGCTAAGTCGCTTCAGTCATGTCCAACTCTGTGTGACTCTATGGACAGCAGCCCTCCAGGCTCCTCTGTCCACAGGATTCTCCAAGCAAGAATACTGGAGTGGGTTGCCATTTCCTTCTCCAATTTCACATGCTAGCAATGTAATACTTAAAATCCTTCAAACTAGGCTTTGGCAGTACCTGAACCGAGAACTTCCAGATGTACAGCTGGATTTAGAAAAGGTAGAGGAACCAGAGATCAAATTGCCAACATCCACTGGATCATAGAAAAAGCAAGGATATTCCAGAAAAGCATCTACTTCTGTTTCATTCACTATGCTAAACCCTTTGACTGTGTGGATTACAACAAACTGGAAAGTTCTGAAAGAGATGGGGATACCAGACCATGTTACCTGCCTCCTGAGAAACCTGTATACAGGTCGGGAGGCAACAGTTAGAATCAGATATGGAACAACAGACTGGTTCAAAAATTGAGAAAGGAGTTGATTAAGGCTCTATATTGTCACCTTGCTTATTTAACTTACATGCAGCGTGCATGGGTGCTAAGTCACTTCACTCATGTCTGACTCTTTGCAACCCTATTAAGTGTAGCCTGCCAGCTCGTCTGTCCATGGGGACTCTCCAGGCAAGAATACTGGAGTGGGTTGCCATACCCTCCTCCAGGGGCTCATCCTCACCCAGGGATCAAACCTGCATCTCTTAAGTTTCCTACATTGGCAGGCGGGTTCTTTACCACTAGCGCTACCTGGGAAGTGCCTATATGCAGAGTTGTTGTTGTTCAGTCGCCCAGTCATGTCTGACTCTTTGTGACCCCATGGATTGCAGCATACCAGACCTCCCTGTCCCTCACCATCTCCCAAAGTTTGCCCAAGTTCATGTCCATTGCATAGGTGATGCCATCCAGCCACCTCATCCTCTGATACCCTCTTCTCCTTCTGTCCTCAGTCTTTCCCAGCATCAGGGAGTTTTCCAATGAGTCAGCTGTTCTCATCAGATAACCAAAATACTGGAGCTTCAGCTTCAGCATCAGTCCTTCCAAGGAATATCCAGGGTTGATTTCACTTAAGATTGACTGGTTTGATCTCCTTGCTGTCCAAGGGACTTTCAGAAGTCTTCTCCAGCACCACAGTTTGAAGGCATCAATTCTTTGGTGTTCTGTCTTCTTTACCGTCCAGCTCTCACAACCATACATGACCACTGGGAAGACCATAAATAAGCCTTGACTATATAAACCTTTATCAGCAGAGACCTTACACCTCTGTTTTTCAATGCACTGTCTAGGTTTGTCATAGCAGTCGCCTCTGATTTCATGGCTGCACCATCCACAGTGATTTTTAGAGCCCAAGAAGAGGAAACCTGTCACAACTTTCACCTTTTCCCCTTCTGTTTGCCATGAAGTAATGGGGCCAGACACCATAATCTTAATTTTTTAAATGTTTAGTTTTAAGCTGACTCTTTCACACTTCTCCTTCACCCTCATCAAGAGGCTCTTTAGTTCCTCTTCACTTTCTGCCATTAGAGTAGTATCATCCACATATCTGAGGTTTTTCATGTTTCTCCCACCTATCTTGATTCCAGATAGGCTCATCCAGCCTGACTTTTCTCATGATATGCTCAGCATATAGGTTAAACAAACAGAGTGGCAGCAGACAACCCTGTTGTACTCCTTTCTCAATCTTGAACCCATCAGTAGTTCCATCAGTTCAGTTCAGTTCAGTTCAGTNTTCCCCATCTATTTGCCATGAAGTGATGGGACCGGATGCCCATCAACTTTTCTGAATGTTGAGCTTTAAGCCTACTTTCTCACTCTCCTCTTTCACCTTCATCAAGAGGCTCTTTAGTTCTTCTTCACTTTCTGCCATAAGAGTGGTGTCATCTGCATATCTGAGCTTATTGATACTTCTCCCGGCAATCTTGGTTCCAGCCTGTGCTTCCTCCAGCCCAGCGTTTCTCATGATGTATATAAGTTAAATATATACAGATTTACTTATACTTATTTAATATAAATATATACTTATAAGTATATATATTATATATAAGTATATATAGTTAAATATATACTTATTTAACTCTGCATACAAGTTAAATAAGCAGGGTGACAATATACAGCCATGATGTACTCCTTTTCCTATTTGCAACCAGTCTGTTGTTCCATGTCCAGTTCTAACTTTGCTTCCTGACCTGCATACAGGTTTCTCAAGAGGCAGGTCAGGTGGTCTGGTATGCCCATCTCTTTCAGAATTTTCCACAGTTTATTTTGATCCACACAGTCAAAGGTTTTGGCATAGTCAACAAAGCAGAAATAGATGCTTTTCTGGGACTCTCTTGCTCTTTTGATGATCCATAGGATATTGGCAATTTGATCTCTGGTTCCTCTGCCTTTTCTAAAATCCATACAGGGTTCTAACTGTTGCTTCTTGACACACAGACAGGTTTCTCAGGAGACAGGTAAGATGGTCTGGTATTCCCATCTCTTTAAGAGCTTTTCACAGTTTGTTATGATCCACACAAAGGCTTTAGCATAGTTGATGAAACAGAGGTATATGTTTTTCTGGAATACACAGAGTACATCATGAGACATGCCAGGCAGGATGAATCACAAGCTGGAATCAAGATTGCCGGTGGAAATATCAACAACCTTAGATATGTATATAATACCTCTCTAATGGCAGAAAGTGAAGGGAAACTTAAGAGCTTCTTGATGAAGGTGAAATAGGACAGTGAAAAAGCTGGTTTACAACTCAACTAAAAAAATAAGGTTGTGGCATCTGGTCCCATCATTTCATGGCAAATAGATGGGGAAACAGTGGAAACAGTAACAGATTTTACTTTCTTGGGCTCCAAAATCACTGAGGATGGTGATTGCAGCCATAAAATTAAAAGATGCTTGGTCCTTGGAAGGAAAGCTATGACAAACCTATACAATGTATTAAAACACAGAGACATTAGTTTGCCAACAAATGTCCATAGAGTCAAAGCTATGGTTTTTCCAGTAGTCATGTATGGATGTGAGAGTTGGACCATAAGGGCTGAGCACCAAAGAATTGATGCTTTTGAATTGTGTTGCTGGAGAAGACTCTTGAGAGTCCCATGGACTGCAAGGAGATCAAACCAATCGATTAGGAAATCAATCCTGAATATTCATTGGAAGGACTGATGCAGAAACTAGACCTCCAATACTTTGGCCACCTTATGCAAAGAGCTGACTCATTGGAAAAGACCCTGATGTTGGGAAAGGTTGAGGGCAGGAAGAGATGAGGGTGGCAGAGGGTGAGATGGTTTCATGGCATCACTGACTCAGTGGACATGAGTTTGAGCAAACTCCAGGAGATAGTGTAGGACAGGGAAGCCTGATGTGCTGCAGTCCGTGGGGTTGCAAAGAGTCAGACACAACTTAGTGACTGAGCAGCAACACAAAGAAGGAAAGTAGTAAGGCAGCTCAGATCTCTCAACCCTACACCCACCACAAATGATGAAAACTGAACGAGTAACCACTAGTGTGAGCCATTTCCTCTTTAATATCACATTAACTCCCGGTATTTTATGCGCAGCATGATTTGCATTCTTATTGTCCTCCCCACCCCCTTCACTGATGTAGTTAAATGACATTTGAACAATCCAATCCACAGGTCTTGAAAAAAAAATTCCCTACTACTCATACCTCACCCGATTCAATTTAAATTCTCAATTTATAGCTCATTCTCTTGCTGATTTGATTTCAGTATGAATTGTCCAATCAT